TGGCCAACTAAATAAAAGTGAAGAAGAATGTTCCGTAATGTTTTTGGTTGGTGGATTTAGTGAATCCAGATATCTACAAAGCCGCATCAGACAGGAATTTAATGGAATTATTAAAAACATACCAGTTCCTCCCAATCCAATTGTTGCTATTGTTAAAGGCGCTGTCCAATTTGGCTTAAAACAAGAAGTAATTGATGACCGAGTTCTTAAATGGACCTACGGTATGTGATATTATATCATCAATTTTATTTGTTGGTTATTAAAATTAATTATTACGTTTCTAGGAACTCGAATTGCAAGAGATTGGACTCCCGATGATCCACCAGAACGAAAAAGCGGCAAACATATTATTGTTTTCGAGCGACTGGGTAGAAAGGGTGAGAGAGTTACCGTGGATCAAAAGGTTCTTCGTATTTTTGCTCCTACCAGTATTATTCAGGAACATGCTTGTTTAGACCTTTATGTAACTTCTAAAGATGACGCAGAATACTGTGATGAACCTGATGTCAACTTGCTTGATAATTTTAATTTTCATGTTCCGATAACTGGTGACGACGTACGCCCAATTTTATATGTTATGAACTTTGGAATGGTTGAAATTCAAACTACTGCAATTAATGTTGCTACTGGTGAAAAATATGAAAAAACATTTGACTTCGATATTTAAAGTGTTTTGACTTGTAGATCCCTCTATTTTTTTTTGTACCTGGGACGATTTGAAGATTAAAATTTGATTTATACTTAATAGCATATATGCTATAGTCTTAAAGAAAGTAACATTGTGTATTGGAGGATAGTAAACTTAAAAATTGGCAAAGATATATGTTACATATACCCTGGGCTCATCATTAATCTTTGTAAATAAATGTTCGGGTATATCAGTTTTTTTTTTTTTTTTTGTATTTTTAAACAATACCGGATATATAATTTAAGATTCTGTTTATAACTTATTTATTTATAATAAAATTCTTATAAATAAACTTATATACTTTTTAGCATTATCTTTGTAATAAATCTTGTAATTTTCAAAATCGTCTTCAGGAATTATTTTGTTTGCAATTTTTAATAGAGAAATTCTATTCGGCCCGCGTTAATTAGCCTGATTATACTTTCGTAGATGGTGTCTAGCAATTTAGAATCAAATAAGATAAACTCGAAAATTGGTCATTTCAACATTACCAAACTATAGTGTTCAATAATTTCTATTCAACTATTCAAAAAGTTAACTCTAAAATTTTATTTATATTAGTAGTATATGTCTGATTAATATTTCATTTAGATAATTCTTTCCATTCGAATTTAAAATCTTTCACCCATTCGGGCCTTTCACGTCCAATTTGAATTTGTTGTA